GGTTCAGGTAGCTCTGCTGCTTCTTTGAAGTCATATACCTCCCCTTCTTACTCTTCTCATACTTTTTGTGCAGGTTCGTAGGGGTATTGATCCGGAAGATGAGGTCCGCCCCAGCTGGTACCGCGCATTGCCAATTATGGGTCTGCTTCCGCCACGGCTTCGGGAGGAAGTGTCGGAGCTTCGGGGAACCAGCCTGGTGGTGCCCAACCTCCTTGACGTGTGGAAGCTCTCCATCCGCTCTTTTCTAGTGTTTGTGGAACTCCCCATGCTCCGATGGTGACATTTTTATTGGTCCATCCGGGGGCAGCGGTTCATGTGGCTCCCCAACCTCCAGTGTCAGATTTTGTTGCAAGTGCTGATGCTCCATTGTCTGCATTTACTTCCATTGATGCAAGTCTAATGTCGTCGGGAGCGGAGGTTGAAGCAGTCAGGACGGCACGTGCGCGAAAAAGGCCATCTAGTCCAGGACGTTCCAGATTCGTTTCTTCCGGATGCGACCAGGTTGGCGTTTCCGTGGGCGTCGTTTTCAGCAGGAGCATCCTATCGGAGTCACTGTCGTTTCCCTGTAACTGGAAGTTCAAGACAAATACTCCGTCTTCGTCAAATGCCCTTCTAATGTAGTCTTTTTATAGAAAAGCTCGAAGCATTTTTCCTCGCAGTTGTTTCGAATCTCAACTCCACATTTCATGAGTTGTGCTTCGGAGGTTGAACTGAAGGTCGGCGACAACGAGTACATCTCCGATGTGAACAGTGAAGTTGGTGTCGCTTGACTGCAGGTAAATTTATCCAATGTCATGGGTCTTTAGTTTGTTGTTGTTTGCGACGGTTATCTCGCATGGTCGTCGCAGTCGCTTTGACTTGCTAATATTTTTTTTTTACCCCACCATGTGTTGTCCGCAACAACTATCGAGATACCACTTCTTGAAGTTGTCGCGGCTTCGACGCGCGATGCTGGCAATCTTGGGCGTAATGATGCGGTCAAGGTCAACGTAGAAGCCCGTGAGAATGTTCTCCTGGGTTGAGGGAAACCCGGAAGGAGATTCGGGTGTGCTTGGAGGCAACTCGTAGTCAGGCGGGAGAGTCGTTGGTCTGTCGCTCCAGTGTCTGATTGTTGGGTCGTTGTTTGGACTTGGTGTGATGGGTTCAATTGGTGCAATCGTTGGGAAGTGAACCCCACTGAAGTAATGAATGCCTCTGCGATGCACGATGCAGCTCAAACTTGTCCCTTTGCCTTCGTCTTTGGTTGAGATGCGCGCAGGATCTTACGAGGAACTCGCGACGGCAAGCGGCGACACGGTTGCCATTGTCGCTGATGGGCGAGCTGAAGGGTTGGTGCTGATGACCGGGTAAGTAGTTGTTGTTGTTGCGTTTCTTCTTGGCGGCTTTGCGCTTGTAGCAGCGATCCATTGTGTGCCCCGGTTTCTTGTAGTACTTGCAAAAGTAACCCTTTTTCTCGTTTTACTCCCCTTTAATTACTACAGCATAGAACACCAAATTCTCTCTCTTGTTGTTTCTCTCATTGTACAGTTCGATCTCCTGCTGTTCAGAGATGAGTGTGTTGCAAAGGTCGACTTCGGAGACAGCTCCTCCAGCGCGAAGCAACGATTTGCATTGTTGCCACTCCTGTTCTTGTCCCCAAAGGACTATGGTGACGAACATGCCATCAGGGACGATTCCGCCGCACTTCTTAAATTGGTTGCGCAGATTTCAGCAGTGACTTATATATGGTCCCGCTTTCTCCCCTTGAATCATGCAGATGTGTCAAAATATATCTTAATATATATTTTGTGTAACTGTTTGCAGTGTAATTGCAGTGTAGTTGTCTCACCTTGTTGGTGGTGTACCTTGTTTGCTTGCCCCCCTTTGTTTCCACTCTATATCTTGTACCCATTTCTCATAGTCAAACCCATGTTTGCCCAATTTTCTTGCCGATCATGCTCGCTATGGCACGCACCGTTGCACAACCCGTCATGCGCCTTATGAGCGCTCCACTGCTGCAGCCCGTCGCTCGCGCACTACCCACGGCAGCAGCCCGTCGACCCGCGCTCTCTACCCCGTTTCGCGTAGCCCGCCCTGCGCGCTGTCCGTCAGCGAGCTACCCGCCCCGCTCGCCGTGCGACGCGCGCCCCGCTGTCTCGCGCGCCCCGCTGTCCCGCGCGCCTCGTTGCCCCGCGCGGCGCACGCCCGACTGCCCTACAGCACGCGCGCAGCTGCGCACGCGCACAGCTACGTACGCACGCTGCTGCACACGTATCTGCAACCGCATGCGTAGCCTCTGCTCCCCCCCCCCCGCCCCCCCCACCTTCTCCTCCCTCTCCCTGCTGCGCCTGCAGCAGTTGTGGGGGGGTGAGGGTGTGGGGGGGACGGGGGAGTGGCATTACGGTTCCCTGCGCCTGCACCACAAGCCGCCACCCTCCTCTCTCTCCCTGGCGTGTCTACTGGTGTGGGGGGGAGGGTACGGGGGTGGTGGGCGTGAGTAAGCCTGCAGCACTAGCAGTGTGAAGTGGTGGCTAAAAAGGGGGTGGTTGAATTGGGTTGGAGACTTGGGGGTCTGAAAGTGGGTCACTAGCAGTGGAGCTGTCACGCTCATGCCTGCCCCCCACCTCCTCTCCTCATCCCTCTCTCACCTTCCCCCTTCGTAAAAGGGGGCCTGAAAGTGGGTCGCCAGCATTAGAGTTGTCACGCTCGTGCCTGCCCCCCACCTCCTCTCCTCACCTCTCCTCTTTCTTTCTTGTCTCCTCCTTGCTTGCTTCTTTGCCCTCACACTCTACATAGTGTCCCTCTCAGGGGACGTTACTACACTTCTCCTTGCAAACGGTTATGGGGGCGTGTCGAAATCTATCTTTATACATATATTTTGTGTAACTGCTTGCAGTGTAGTTGTAGTGTAATTATCTCACCTTGTTGGTGGTGTACCTTGTTTGCTTGCCCCTCTTTGTTTCCATTCTATATCTTGTACCCATTTCTCATAGTCAAACCCTTCTTTGCTCAATTCTCTTGCCGTGCTCACTCATGCTTCCTAGCTAAACCCTAAGTTACTAAGTTATGAGTTAAGAGCCTTCTTCAACAAGATGTCAGCTGGCTGAGTAATCGACTCATTGTTACGGGGTTTGTTGCCATGTATGAGTTGCGCAGGTGTTCCCAGGACACTTGCGGGGGAGCGCACTCGTTTTTGAAGGATCGGATGCTAAGTTGTTCGGTGAGAGCGAGATTGTGGAGAAGGACAGTGTACGCGAGGAGAGACTCGTGATAGTAGAGGTTCTTCTCCTGGGGAGTTCCTTTCGTTGGAAAAGTGAGACTCCCATCGTAGTACATCCAGATCTGCACGGTTGTTGCGAGGAGCTCGAATCTGAAGCTCCATGTGTAGAAATCTTTGTCGTCGAATAGGGTTGATGTCCTCAATTTTGATGTCGTGAGGAACTTGTTTTGCAATGTTGCTAACACTTCTGTTTGTGCTCGTTGCTGTCTTGCGCAGGAGCTGAACCTTGGCGATTTTCGAAGATGAAAGACCTCTTGGAGTTGACGAGTCGGTCTTCCCCTAGGAGAGCGAGTCCAGCAACTTCACTGGCGTAGCTTGAGCCGTCAATGCTCATTGCTTGATGGCTCTCAAGAGCGTTGATGCGAGCAATGAGTTGCTCAACAACGTTGGCGTTGACGGAAGTTACTGTTGACGCCATGTTCGTCGTTGCTGGTGGTGGTCTTGGAGAGTCTGCTGTAGTCTTTCCTTCATGTGGAAATATGAAACTTAATAAGAAGGCATTCATGTACGCTTCAGGAGCCGACTCTACCGAGTACGAAGTCGAGGCTGTCAAATTATATATACCTGCTGTAGTACTGTAGGCTGTAGTGGGGTAGCTTACATGGGGTACAACACATTCTAGGGTTCATATTTGTATCCCAACTGTTGCTAGTTCATCCATTCTTGCCTAGTCCTGTTGACATGGTATTCAGAGCAGGAGGTCCCTAGGACCTACCGACCGTTTTTTTTTAGGGCCCACCACCGCTCGCATGCGGTTACCACGCTACCCCGTGCCCTAGCCTCGTAGCGCCCTCGTGCGCCCTCGTTAGTGCCCTCGCGCGCCCTCGTTAGCGCCCTCGCGCGCCCTCGTTAGCGCCCTCGCGCGCCCCTCGTTAGCGCCCTCGTTAGCACCCCTCGTTAGCGCCCTCGCCCGCCGCGCTGCTCGTCGCGCCGCCCGTAGCGCTGCCCGTCGCGCCGCGCGTCGCCCGTCGCGCTGCCCGTCCCGCTCCCCGTCGCGTCGCCCGCCGCGCTGCCCGTCGCGCTGCCCGCTTGCTGCGCTGTACCCGCCCGCGCTGCCCGTCGCGCGCCCACCCGTCGCGCTGCCCGCTGCGCTACCCGCTAGTAGCGCCGCCCGCCCGCCGCGGTACTCGCCGCGCTACCCGCTAGTAGCGCCGCCCACCCGCCGCGCTGCCCACTTGCAGCGCCGCCTGCCCGCCGCGCTACCTGCTCGCCGCGCTGCCCGCCGCGCTACCCGCCGCGCTACCCGCCGCGCTGCCCACCTGTCGCGCAGCCCGCAGTGCCGTCCGCCCGCCGTGCCGCCCGCTCGTTGCGCAGCCCGCCGCCCGCCCGTCGCGCTACCCGCCCGCCGCACTGCCCACCTCGTTTGCTGCCGCTGCTGTCTTTGCTCTAGCGTGCTTCCGCTATGGCCTCCATTCGCGTGCTGTCGTTCGATGCTGAGGGCCGCCCTGTGCAGTTCACCACCTGGCTAGATGACCTGCAGCTTTTTCTCCTGAGCGATAGCAAAGAGCATGTTTCGCTCTATGACTACGCGTCTGGTGCTGCGCCTGCCCCTCCTGCCACAGCTGAGCTTAGTGTCCGTTCCCACTGGCAGACTCGTGACGCAGCTGCTCGCCTAGCCATTCGCAGTCACCTGCCGTTAGCTGAGCTCGAGCATTTTGGCGACTGCAAAACCGCTAAGGCCCTGTACGACGCTGTCGTTGCTCGCTACTCCTCACCTGCCACAGCCGAGCTTAGCCGCCTCATGCTGCCTTACCTGTTCCCTGAGCTGTCCACCTTTGCTACAGTCGCCGATCTCATCACCCACCTTCGCACTAGTGACACTCGCCTGCGTGCAGCCCTTCCCACCGAGTTCTGCGCTAAGAACCCCCCTCCACTGTACTGGACACTCCACTTCATAGTCACCCGTCTCCCTGACACCCTCAGCTCAGTGCGCGACTATTTCCTTGCTCGCTGTCCCACTGAGCTCACTGTCGACCTCCTAGAGGAGAAGCTGCTAGCAGCCGAGAAGAGCATTGTAGCTGTCGGTGCTGCTCGCGGCGCTCCTCGCACCCCCATCTTTGAGGGGTGCTCTCCCTCTCCCCTCGCTCCCTCCTACGCTACTGCTGCTGCTGTTGACTTCCTTGGTGCTGAGTCTGCTGGCGCTGCTTCTGCTCCTGGTGGGAGGCGCCGCACCGGCAAGGGCAAGGGGGGCAAGGGTGGCGGGGGTGGCGCTGGGGGGGGAGGGGGTGGGGGAGGTGGGGGGGGGGGGTGCTGGAGGGAGCGGTGGCGGAAGTGCTGGTGGGAGTGGGGTCGGCAGCGGAGGCGGGGGCGGCGGAGGGAGCGGTGGCGGTGGTGGTAGCGGTGGCAGTGGTGGCGGTGGCGGTAGCGGCGGTGGCGGTGGCGGCGGTGGCGGTCGGAGCGGAGGTAGTGGCGGCGGTGGAGGTCGGAGTGGAGGCACCGGCTCGGGCCAGAGCTCCCAGCAGCAGCGTCCCCAGACGACCCAGCAGCTTCGTGAGTGGCTTGCTCAGCGTGGGACGTCGGGGGGGGAGTGGCCGCTGTTCCTATGTCATTCGCACAGGTGATCGCAAGGGGCAGAAGTGTGGGAAGTTCCACACCCAGTACCGCTGCTTCTCCCGCCTTGACGACGCTTGGCGTGAGGAGATGGGCGAGGATGTTGAGCGCCCCCGCTGGGCTGATCTGATGAGGGCTGGTGTTGATATCTTTGCTCTTGACTATGATGCTATTATTGCTGCCATGTATGCATTGACTGTTAGTGCCGAGGGAGACTGTTACTTGTGTGTGCCACCTGACCCAGGTATAGAGCCCACTGCCCTAGGTACTAGTGAGTCTGCTCTCTCTGGTACTGTGCCCTCTGTGGCTGCTCCCTCCGGTACTGTCCCTGCTGCTAGTGAGTCTGCTCTCTCAGGTACAGCACCCACAGAGACTGCTCTCTCAGGTACTGCACCTGCTGAGGCCTTGCACACCTTCACTCTTGACTCAGGTGCTTCCCGCTGTTTCTTTCGAGACAGTACTGAGCTCACTCCGCTCCCTGCACCGGTCCCAGTCTCCCTGGCTGACCCCTCGGGGGGCCCAGTCCTTGCACGGTCCACCACTGTGCTCCCGTGTCCGGCGGTTCCGTCTGGCTCGTTGTCGGGTTTCCACCTCCCCTCGTTCTCGACGAACCTGGTGAGCAACGCTGTCATCCAGGATCAGTGGGTTGACACCTTTACCCCTGGAGGACAGCGTGTGGCGATCCTCACGTGCTCCAGGACCGGCCGTCACCTGGCTACGTTTACCCGTCAGCCGGGGTCGAGTCTCTACACACTGACCACTGTGTCTCCTCAGGTCGCTGCTGTCGGTCAGGTGTCCGCGTCAGGTCTGGTAGCCCACGCCTGTGAGTGTCGTTCCCTGTCACACCAGACTCTTCTCTGGCACCACCGCCTGGGTCACCCCTCCTTGCCACGCCTCCGTGGCATGCACCGTCGCCACCTTGTGTCTGGTCTTCCCAGGTCCCTCCCTCCCCTCCCTGCCTCGCCTGCGCCGCCTTGCCTTCCTTGCATCGAGGGGCGGCAGCGCGCCGCTCCTCACTCCTCCTCGTTCCCCCCGACAGAGGCTCCTCTGCAGACCCTCCACCTGGACGTGTGGGGCCCAGCCCGCGTTCGTGGCCAGGGCGGTGAGCGGTACTTTTTGCTGGTTGTCGACGACTACTCGCGTTACACCACGGTCTTCCCCTTGCGCACCAAGGGTGAGGTCCCTGCTGTTCTGATCCCTTGGATCCGCACAGTTCGTCTCCAGCTCCGCCGCCGTTTCCGGACAGATCTTCCTGTCCTGCGTCTGCACTCTGACAGAGGTGGTGAGTTCTCCTCCGACCTCTTGAGGACCTTCTGTCAGGCGGAGGGCATCGAGCAGACCTTCACGCTTCCGGGCTCCCCGCAGCAGAATGGGGTTGCTGAGCACCGCATTGGCCTGGTCATGGAGGTCGCTCGTACCTCCTTGGTCCATGCGGCGGCTCCCCATTTTCTGTGGCCGTTTGCTGTCCGGTACGCCGCGCATCAGCTCAACCTCTGGCCCCGTGTCTCCTTGCCGGAGACCTCGCCCGCACTGCGTTGGACGGGGGAGGTTGGCGATGCGTCGCGCTTCCGGGTGTGGGGTGCTCGTGCCCTTGTCCGCGATACGTCCGCGGACAAGCTCTCCCGCACGCTTCCCTGTGTCTTCCTTGGCTTTGTCCCTGACGCGCCTGGCTGGTAGTTTTACCACCCCACCTCGCGCCGGGTCTTCGCCTCTCAGGACGTCACCTTTGACGAGTCGGTCCCTTTTTACCGTCTCTTCCCCTACCGCACTGCCCCCCTCCCTCCCCCGCCGCTTTTCCTCGCTCCTGGTCCCCCTCCGGTAGACCCCCTTCCCCCTCAGGGTCCTGCTCCTTCAGGTGTCTCTCAGGTAGACCCTCCTCCCGTCGCTGAGCCTGTCGAGGTCACAGGTGACTCAGGTGCTGCTGCGGGTGGTGCTGAGCCTGGGGGTGCTGGGCCTGGGGGTGCTGGGGCTGCGGGTGCTGGGACTGAGGGTGCTGGAGCTGAGGGTACGGTGCCTGAGCGTACGGAGCCTGGGGGTGCTGAGCCTGGGGGTACTGCGTCTGGGGGTGCTGAGCCTGGGGGTACGGAGCCTGGGGGTGCTGAGCCTGGGGGTGCTGAGACTGGGAGTGCTGAGCCTGAGGGTACTGAGCCTGGGGGTGCTACGATTGAGCCTACATAGCCGGGTTGCTGCGTCTGGGGGTGCTCCGGTTCGGGGTGCTGAGCCGTCTCTCCGGGAGCCTCTCACACAGCAGCAGCTTCGTGACTGGTACGTCTGGCGCTTTCGCCATCCTCGTGGCCCTGCTGGAGTTGGAGGTTCTGGAGCTGCTCGTCCTGGAGGTGCTCGTACTGGAGGTACTGGAGCTGCCGGGGCTGGTTGTTCTGGGAGCACTGAGGCTGGAGCTGCTCGAAATGGGGACTCTGGAGCTGGCGGTACTAGCGGAGTTGGAGCTGCCGGCTCTGGGGGTGCTCTTCCTGGAGGTACTGGAGCTGCTGGAGCTGACGACACTGGAGCTGACGGTCTTGGAGGCGTTTTGTCCTGCTGGTTCTGGAGGTGCTGGCGAGGGGAGGTCTGACGCTGCTGGGGCCTCTGGTGCTGACGTCGCCGGCTCTGGGGGTGCTGCGGCGGGGGGCGCTGGTACTGGTGCTTCTGGTGCTGCGGGTGCTGGAGGTACTGGCGGAGCTCCGCCGTCGCGACTGTTCTTCGCTCCACCGTCGCCGTCGGCTTTGCCACCGCCTGACACGGTGCTTCGCCAGGTTCTTTCCCTCCCGTCTTCCACTGGCCTTCCCCTCCAGCCTGGCTCCCCCCTCCCTGCTCCTGTGCCTTACACTGCACAGCCGGACTCGCTTACGGAGCGTCGTGAGCCTGCGTCTCGTCCTGCCTCGCCTGTTCGCGCTGCTCGCACTGCGCGCACTGGTCCCACTGGTCGTCGTGTCGCGCGTCCGCGTCCTCCTCCTGTTCCTGGCACGCACATTATGGCCCTTCGTCCTTCCACTGGTCCACAGCGTGTCCCCCTACCGTCTCCTCCTGCGTCTTCTCTTCCTGACGTTCCCGACCCTGAGTCTGACAGTGTTCGTGCTGCCCACCCTACTGTTACGCGTCTTCTCGCCACTGTTGTCACTGACCCGTCGTTTGAGTCTGCTGCTGCGTCTGCCCTGGTCGCTGAGCTTGTCGACTTTGCTGCTGCCTGTCGTCTAGACTACGCTGCCAGTCTTGTTGCTGAGTCTGAGTCTGTCTGTCCTTCGTCCGTCGGGGGTGAGTGTGCTCTTGGCACGGACATCCTTGAGGACAGGCAGGAGGACTTTGACTCTCTTGCGGCTGCTGTACCTCATCTCGTGGCCTGGTTGCTTGCCCTTGAGGGAGACCCGGATGCACTAGACATCCCCACTCCGCGCTCTTACGCAGAGGCGATCTCGGGTCCCTACTCCTCTCAGTGGCAGGCAGCCATGGACGCAGAGATGGCATCCTGGAAGTCCACAGGCACCTACGTCGACGAGGTTCCCCCTCCTGGGGCGAACATCGTCGATGGCATGTGGATTTTCAAGGTGAAGCGGCCGCCAGGTTCTCCACCTGTCTTCAAGGCTCGTTACGTTGCTAGAGGCTTCAGTCAGCGTTTGGGAGTTGACTTCTTCCAGACCTTCTCCCCCAACCCGAAGATGACCACTCTTCGGGTTCTGCTGCACGTTGCCGCTCAGCGTGACTACGAGCTTCACTCTCTTGACTTCAGCATAGCTTTCTTGCAGGGCAGCCTGCACGAGGAGATCTGGCTGCGCCGCCCACCTGGCTTTACTGGGTCGTTCCCTCCTGGTACCCAGTGGAGCCTTCGCCGGCCAGTCTACGGTCTCCGCCAGGCGCCGCGCGAGTGGCACGACACACTGAGGACGACACTTGCGGCACTTGGGTTTGCTCCCTCCACTGCAGACCCGTCGCTGTTTCTCCGCACCGACACCTCGCTGCCGCCGTTCTACATCCTCGTGTACGTCGACGACTTGGTCTTTGCTACTGCTGACACTGAGGCACTCGCCCACGTGAAGTCGGAGCTGCAGAAGAGACACACGTGCACTGATCTGGGTGAGCTGCGCAGCTACCTTGGCTTGCAGATCACCCGGGACAGAGCACGCCGCACCATCACCTTGACTCAGTCACACATGGTGCAGCAGATCCTTCAGCGCTTCGACTTCCAGTACTCCTCACCACAGTCCACTCCTCTGTCTACACGTCACTCGCTCTCAGCTCCACCTTCGGACGAGTCCGTAGAGCCGAGTGGCCCGTACCCAGAGCTTGTGGGCTGCCTCATGTACCTGATGACCTGCACTCGACCTGACCTTGCGTACCCTCTTAGCATCCTAGCTCGCTACGTCGCGCCTGGGAGACACAGGCGAGAGCACTGGGAGGCTGCTAAGAGGGTGCTACGCTACTTGTGCAGTACATCAGGCATGGGGCTGGTGCTTGGAGGACGGGGTCGAGTTGTCCTCACTGGACACTCAGACGCCTCTTGGGTTGACGACCTGGCTACGCAGCGGTCGTCACTGGGTTACACCTTCAGCCTTGGCTCTGGCTCTGTCTCGTGGCGGTCTACTCGCTCGTCTTCTGTTCTCAGCTCCAGTTGTGAGGCTGAGATCTACGCCACAGCCATGGCTGCACAGGAGTTACGCTGGCTTACCTACCTGCTGACTGACCTGGGAGAGCGGCCTAGTTCTCCTCCAGTTCTGTACGGCGACAACAAGGCAGCCCTTGCCTTGTGTCAGGAGCACAGACTGGAGCACAGAACGAAGCACATTGCTCTCCGTTACTTCCTGGCTCGAGAGCTGCAGCAGCGTGGCCAGCTTCGTCTTGCGTACGTCGACACACGGGCCAACACCGCTGACATATTCACCAAGGCACTTCCGCCTAGTGATCATCAGCGGCACTGCACTGCTCTAGGCCTTGTACCTACGTTCTCTCACTTGCTTACTGCTTGACCTTGTTTGTACTGTGATCTATATATATACCTGCTTGTTTGCTCTTGCTAGGTAGGGATCACTGTATTGTCGCTGTTATTTATATCTCTGTGCATGTGAACTGGCCTTGTGGCCTTTACTGTTTGTGCTCAGAGTGTGTGGTGACGTTGTGATCCACCCTGAGCTTGTCTTTGCTTGACTGGTCATGTGACCCTTTGTTCTCCCCCACCTTGCCTATGGGGGTGTGTCAAATTATATATACCTGCTGTAGTACTGTAGGCTGTAGTGGGGTAGCTTACATGGGGTACAACACATTCTAGGGTTCATATTTGTATCCCAACTGTTGCTAGTTCATCCATTCTTGCCTAGTTAGCCCTGTTGACAGAGGCATAAAAAAAATCGAAGCGACACGAGCAACCGTAAGATCGAGACCAATGTTGGTAGAAACATTTGAAGTGAAAAAGGCGGGAACAGGTTTGAAACAGGTTCCCGCGCCGCACGGTTTGAATTTCGCTGCAATAAGGGAATGTACCCCTTGTTAAACTGTATTATGCTTGTAGGCTGTAGTGGGGTAGCCAATATGGGGTACAACCCCAACTAGGGTTTCATATTTGTACCCAAACTTCTGCTAGTTCATCATTCTTGCCTAGTGATTCTGACATGGTATTCAGAGCAGGAGGTCCCTAGGACCTACCGACCGTTTTTTTTAAGGGCCCACCACCGCTCGCATGCGGTTACCACGCTACCCCGTGCCCTAGCCTCGTAGCGCCCTCGTGCGCCCTCGTTAGCGCCCTCGCGCGCACCCTCGTTAGCGCCCTCGCGCGCCCCCTCGTTAGCGCCCTCGCGCGCCCCTTCGTTAGCGCCCTCGCGCGCCCCTTGCTAGCGCCCTCGCGCGCCCCTCACTAGCGCCCTCGCGCGCCCCTCGCCGAGCCGCCCGCTCGCAGCCCGCCCGCCCGCTCGCTGCCCGCTTCGCGGCCCGCTCGCTACGCAGCCCGCCCGCCCGCTCGCTGCTCGCTTCGCGGCCCGCCCGCCTCGCAGCCCGCTCGCCCCGCTGCCCGCTTCGCGGCCCGCCCACTTCGCAGCCCGCCCGCCCGCTAGCTGCCCACTTCGCGGCCCGCCCGCATCGCAGCCCGCTCGCCCCGCTGCCCGCTTCGCAGCCCGCCCGCCCGCCCGCTGCCCGCTTCGCGGCCCGCCCGCCTCGCAGCGTCGCCCGCCCGCCGTGCTGCCCGCTTGCAGCGCCGCCTGCCCGCCGCGCTGCCCGCTTCCCGGCCCGTCCGCCGCGCTGCCCGCTCGCAGCGTCGCCCTCCCGTCGCGCTGACCGCTTGCAGCGCCGCCTGCCCGTAGCGCCAGCCTCGCCCGCTGCTCTCTATCCGTGCACAGTCGCCTTCCCCTGCTGCGGCAGCTTGCGTTACTCTGTCACACTGTCGCTATGGCTTCCATCCGCGTGCTGTCGTTCGATACTGAGGGCCGCCCTGTGCGGTTCACCGCTTGGCTAGATGACCTGCAGCTGTTTCTCCTGAGCGATAGCAAGGAGCATGTGTCGCTCTATGATTACGCGTCTGGTGCTGCGCCTGCCCCTCCTGCCACAGCTGAGCTTAGTGTTCGTTCCCACTGGCAGACTCGTGACGCAGCTGCTCGCCTAGCCATTCGCAGTCACCTGCCGTTAGCTGAGCTAGAGCATTTTGGCGACTGCAAATCCGCTAAGGCCCTGTACGACGCTGTCGTCGCTCGCTACTCCTCGCCTGCCACAGCCGAGCTTAGCCGCCTCATGCTGCCGTACCTGTTCCCCGATCTGTCCACCTTTACTACAGTCGCCGATCTTATCACCCACCTTCGCACTAGTGATGCTCGCCTGCGTGCCGCCCTTCCCACCGAGTTCTGCGCTAAGAACCCCCCTCCACTGTACTGGACACTCCACTTCATAGTCACCCGTCTCCCTGACACCCTCCGCTCAGTTCGAGACCACTTCCTTGCTCGCTGTCCCACTGAGCTCACAGTCGCCCTCCTAGAGGAGCACCTGCTCGCGGCCGAAAAGAGCATTGTAGCTGTCGGTGCTGCTCGTGGCGCTCCTCGCACCCCCATCTTTGAGGGGTGTTCTCCCTCTCCCCTCGCTCCCTCCTACGCTGCTGCTGCTGCTGCTGTTGACTTCCTTGGTGCTGAGTCTGTTGGCGCTGCTTCTACTCCTGGTGGGAGGCGCCGCACCGGCAAGGGCAAGGGGGGCAAAAGTGGTGGTGGTGGCGCTGGGGGGGGAGGAGGTGGGGGAGGTGGGGGGGGAGGCGGTGCTGGAGGGAGCGGTGGCGGGAGCGCTGGTGGGAGTGGGGTCGGTGGTGGAGACGGGGGCGGCGGAGGAAGCAGTGGCAGTAGTGGCGGCGGCGGCGGTGGCGGCGGTGGCGGTGGTGGCGGTGGTGGCGGTGGCGGTCGGAGCGGTGGTAGTGGTGGCGGCGGAGGTCGGAGTGGAGGCACTGGCTCGGGCCAGAGCTCCCAGCAGCAGCAGCGTCCCCAGACGACCCAGCAGCTTCGTGAGTGGCTTGCTCAGCGTGGGACGTCGGGGGCCAGTGCCCGCTGTTCTTATGTCATTCGCACAGGTGACCGCAAGGGACAGACGTGTGGGAGGTTCCACACCCCGTACCGCTGCTTCTCCCGCCTTGACGACGCTTGGCGTGAGGAGATGGGTGCGGATGTTGAGCGCCCCCGCTGGGCTGAGCTCATGAGGGCTGGTGTTGATGTCTTTGCTCTTGACTATGATGCTATTATTGCTGCCATGTATGCATTGACTGTTAGTGCCGAGGGAGACTGTTACTTGTGTGTGCCGCCTGACCCAGGTATAGAGCCTGCTGCCCTGGGTACTAGTGAGTCTGCTCTCTCTGGTATGGTGCCCCCTGTACTTGCTCCCCCCAGTGCTGTCCCGGCTGGTTTCGAGTCTGCTCTCTCAGGTACAGCACCCACAGAGACTGCTCTCTCAGGTACCGCACCGGCTGAGGCCTGTCACACCTTCACCCTTGACTCAGGTGCTTCCCGTTGCTTCTTTCGTGACAGTACTGAGCTCACACCGCTTCCTGCACCGGTCCCAGTCTCCTTGGCTGACCCCTCTGGGGGCCCAGTCCTTGCCCAGTCCACCACTGTCCTCCCTTGTCCGGCGGTTCCGTCTGGCTCGTTGTCGGGTTTCCACCTCCCCTCGTTCTCGACGAACCTGGTGAGCAACGCTGTCCTCCAGGATCAGTGGGTTGACACCTTTACCCCTGGCGGACAGCGTGTGGCGATCTGCACGTGCTCCAGGACCGGCCGTCACCTGGCTACGTTCACCCGTCGGCCGGGGTCGAGTCTCTACACACTGACCACTGCGTCTCCCCAGGTAGCTGCTGTCGGTCAGGTGTCTGCGTCAGGTCTGGTGGCCCACACCTGTGAGTGTCGTTCCCTGTCGCACCAGACTCTTCTCTGGCACCACCGCCTGGGTCACCCCTCCTTGCCACGCCTTCGTGGCATGCACCGTCGCCTCCTTGTGTCCGGTCTTCCCAGGTCCCTCCCTCCCCTCCCTGCCTCGCCTGCGCCGCCTTGCCTTCCTTGCGTCGAGGGGCGGCAGCGCGCCGCTCCTCACTCCTCCTCGTTCCCCCCGACAGAGGCTCCTCTGGAGACCCTCCACCTGGACGTGTGGGGCCCAGCCCGCGTTCGTGGTCAGGGCGGTGAGCGGTACTTTTTGCTGGTTGTCGACGACTACTCGCGTTACACCACGGTCTTCCCCTTGCGCACCAAGGGTGAGGTCCCTGCTGTTCTGATCCCTTGGATCCGCACGGTTCGTCTCCAGCTCCGCCGCCGTTTCCGGACGGATCTTCCTGTCCTGCGTCTGCACTCTGACAGAGGTGGTGAGTTTTCCTCCGACCTCTTGAGGACCTTCTGTCAGGCGGAGGGCATCGAGCAGACCTTCACGCTTCCGGACTCCCCACAGCAGAATGGGGTTGCTGAGCGTCGCATTGGCCTGGTCATGGAGGTCGCTCGTACCTCCTTGGTCCACGCGGCGGCTCCCCATTTTCTGTGGCCGTTTGCTGTCCGGTACGCCGCGCATCAGCTCAACCTCTGGCCCCGTGTCTCCTTGCCGGAGACCTCGCCCACACTGCGTTGGACGGGGGAGGTTGGCGATGCGTCGCGCTTCCGGGTGTGGGGTGCTCGTGCCCTTGTCCGCGATACGTCTGCGGACAAGCTCTCCTCCCGCACGCTTCCCTGTGTCTTCCTTGGCTTTGTCCCTGACGCGCCTGGCTGGCAGTTTTACCACCCCACCTCGCGCCGGGTCTTCGCCTCTCAGGATGTCACCTTTGACGAGTCGGTCCCCTTTTACCGTCTCTTCCCCTACCGCACTGCCCCCCTCCCTCCCCCACCGCTTTTCCTTGCTCCTGGTCCCCCTCCGGTAGACCCCCTTCCCCCTCAGGGTCCTGCTCCTTCAGGTGTCTCTCAGGTAGACCCTCCTCCCGTGGCTGAGCCTGTCGAGGTCACAGGTGACTCAGGTGCTGCTGCGGGTGGTGCTGCTGGGAGTGCTGAGCCTGGGGGTGCTGAGCCTGGGGGTGCTGGGCCTGGGGGTGCTGGGGCTGCAGGTGCTGGGACTGAGGGTGCTGGAGCTGAGGGTACGGTGCCTGAGAGTACGGAGCCTGGGGGTGCTGCGCCTGGGGGTGCTGAGCCTGCGGGTGCGAGGCCTGGGAGTGCTGAGCCTGCGGGTACTGAGCCTGCGGGTACTGAGCCTGCGGGTACTGAGCCTGGGGGTGCTGCTACTGAGCCTACGGAGCCTCGGGTTACTGTGTCTGGGGGTGCTCCGGTTCGGGGTGCTGAGCAGTCTCTCACACCGCAGCAGCTTCGTGACTGGTACGTCCGACGCTTTCGCCGTCCTAGTGGCTCGGCTGGAGTTGGGGGTGCTGGAGTTGCTCGTCCTGGGGGTGCTCGTACTGGGGGTACTGGAGCTGCCGGGACTGGCTGTTCTGGGAGCACTGCGACTGGAGCTGCTGGAGCTGGGGACTCTGGCGTTGGCGGTGCTAGCGGAGTTGGAGCTCCCGACTCTGGGGGTGGCGCTGCTGCTGGTGCTGCGGACCCACCTGGTGGAGCTGCTGCTGGTACTGAGGAGTCGGACGGTGGAGCTGCTGCTGGAGCTGGGGACCCGGCCGGTGGAGCTGCTGCTGGTGCTGTGGACCCGGACGCTGGAGCTCCTACTGGTGCTGAGGACCCGGCCGCTGGAGTCCCTTCTGCTTCTGGAGACGCTGCGCGGCCGCGACCGTACTTCGTACCGCTCCTTCAGCAGGTTCTTGGGCAGGCTCCTCCTCCTTGTCCTCCTCCCTCCGTAGAGTGTCCTCCGCCTGTCCAGCCGCAGTCACAGTTACCGCCCGCCTCGCCTCTCCCTGCTCCCTCTCCTTATACTGGTCCCACAGGAGGTCTTACAGAGCGTCGTGAGCCTGAGTCTCGTCCTGCGTCGCCTGTTCGTCCTGCTCGCACTGGTAGTCGTGTCCGTCGTGAGCGTCCTCCGCCTGTCCCAGGCACTCACTACATGACTCTGCGTCCCTCTACTGCTCCTCGGCGTGTCCCTCTACCGTCTCCTCCTGCGTCCTCTTTGCCTGCCGTTCCGGACCCTGAGTCTGACCGGTATCGCGCTGAGCACCCTACAGTCACGCGTCTCCTTGCTACTGTTGTCACTGACCCCACCTTTGAGTCCTCGGCTGCGTCTGCTCTGGTCGCTGAGTTGGTTGACTTTGCTGCTGCCTGTCGTCTAGACTACTCTGCTAGCCTTGTCGCTGAGTCAGAGTCTGCGTCTGTCTGTCCTCCGTCCGTCAGGGGTGAGTGTGCTCTTGGCACGGACGTCCTTGAGGACAGGCAGGAGGACTTTGACTCACTTGCGGCTGCTGTACCTCATCTCGTGGCCTGGTTGCTTGCCCCTGAGGGAGACCCGGATGCAGTAGACATCCCCACTCCGCGCACTTACGCAGAGGCGATCTCGGGTCCCTACTCCTCTCAGTGGCAGACAGCCATGGACGTAGAGATGGCATCCTGGAAGTCCACAGGCACCTACGTCGACCAGGTTCCCCCTCCTGGGGCGAACATCGTCGATGGCATGTGGATTTTCAGGGTGAAGCGGCCGCCAGGTTCTCCGCCTGTCTTCAAGGCTCGTTACGTTGCTAGAGGCTTCAGTCAGCGTCAGGGGGTTGACTTCTTCCAGACCTTCTCCCCCACCCCGAAGATGACCACTCTTCGGGTTCTGCTGCACGTTGCTGCTCAGCGTGACTACGAGCTTCACTCTCTTGACTTCAGCACAGCGTTCCTGCAGGGCAGCCTGCACGAGGAGATCTGGCTGCGCCGCCCACCTGGCTTTACTGGGTCGTTTCCCCCTGGTACCCAGTGGAGTCTCCGCCGGCCAGTCTACGGTCTCCGCCAGGCGCCACGTGAGTGGCACGACACACTGAGGACTACTCTTGCGGCTCTTGGGTTCGCGCCGTCTACTGCTGACCCGTCGCTGTTTCTGCGCACAGACACGTCGCTGCCGCCGTTCTACATCCTCGTGTACGTCGACGACTTGGTCTTTGCTACTGCTGACACTGAGGCACTCGCTCGTGTGAAGTCGGAGCTGCAGAAGAGACACACCTGCACTGACCTGGGTGAACTGCGTAGCTACCTTGGCTTGCAGATCACCCGGGACAGAGCTCGCCGCACCATCACCCTGACTCAGTCACACATGGTGCAGCAGGTCCTTCAGCGCTTCGGCTTCCAGTTCTCCTCACCACAGGCCACACCTCTGGCTACCAGCCACTCGCTCTCAGCTCCACCTTCGGACGAGTCCGTAGAGCCGAGTGGCCCATACCCAGAGCTTGTAGGCTGCCTCATGTACCTGATGACTTGCACGCGACCTGACCTCGCGTACCCTCTTAGCATCCTTGCTCGTTACGTTGCGCCTGGGAGACACAGGCGAGAGCACTGGGAGGCTGCTAAGAGGGTGCTGCGTTACCTGTGCAGTACATCAGGCATGGGGCTGGTGCTTGGAGGACGCGACAGAGTTGTCCTCACTGGTCACTCGGACGCCTCTTGGGTGGACGACCTGGCTACGCAGCGGTCGTCACAGGGTTACACCTTCAGCCTTGGCTCAGGTTCTGTCTCGTGGCGGTCCACCCGCTCTTCCTCTGTTCTCGGCTCTAGTTGTGAGGCTGAGATCTACGCCACAGCCATGGCTGCACAGGAGTTACGCTGGCTCACCTACCTGCTGACTGACTTGGGAGAGCGGCCTAGTTCTCCTCCAGTTCTGTACGGTGACAACAAGGCGGCTCTTGCCTTGTGTCAGGAGCACAGACTGGAGCACAGGACGAAGCACATTGCTCTTCGCTACTTTCTTGCTCGAGAGCTTCAGCAGCGCGGTCAGCTTCGGCTTGTGTACGTGGACTCAAAGGCCAACACTGCTGATATCTTCACCAAGGCGCTCCCGCCTAGTGATCATCAGCGTGTCCACGTTTCCTCACTTGCTCACTGCTTGACATTCTTTGTACTGTACTTTATATATATCTTGTTGCTTGCTTGCTAGGTTTTGATCACTGTGTTGCTTGTCTTGTACTATATCTAGCACTGCATGTGAACTGGCCTTGTGGCCTTTACTTGTGCTCGGAGTGTGGTGACGTTGTGATCCACCCTGGGCTTTGCTTTGCTTTGCTGGACTGGTCTTGTGACCCTTTGTTCTCCCCCACTTTGCCTATGGGGGTGTGTTAAACTGTATTATGCTTGTAGGCTGTAGTGGGGTAGCCAATATGGGGTACAACCCCAACTAGGGTTTCATATTTGTACCCAAACTTCTGCTAGTTCATCATTCTTGCCTAGTGATTCTGACACCCCTTAGACTACATGGCTAGCTAGGACGTTTTTTTTTTTTTTGGGTTGCGAAGCAACCTATTACAATCGTTATGTACAATTTTTTTTTTCATCCTCTAGACTTCAAAAAATAAAAAGATGAAGTAACTATGGTGAACGGTAGCTAAGTAACTGACTGCTATGTATTTGCCACGCAATCTAGCACATGCCGTACCACATTCCTTCTCATTTCCTAGTTTGCTTTGACGGAACGTATATTGTATGGATGAAACATGTAAATGAGATGCCAAAATGATGTTACTATGAACGCATGAGTGTATAATCTGTCAGAATGCTATTATTGTCTAGCCTGCAGTGGGGTACTCTATAGCGAGTACAGCCCAATCTAGGGTTTGCTATTTGTACTCAACTGCCTGCTAGTTCAACCCCCTCTCCTTTCAATCATTCTTGCCTAGTTATTCTGAAATGCTATTAGAGCAGGTCGACCCTCCTGGGTCGATCCTGTGGGTGGGCCCACCACCTAAGCCTTCCGCTGCTACTGCTACTGCTACTGCTACTCCCTGTCCGCCGCGCGCCCCGTGGCGCGCGGCGTCGAAACTAGGGTTTTCAGCCCGCCGTGCGCCCCGAGGCACGCGGCGGTTTTCTGCACGCCGTGCGCCCCGAGGCGCGCGGCGGTTCTCTGCCCGCCGTGTGCCCCGAGGCGCGCGGCGGGTTCCTGCCCCGTCACTCGGCACGTCGCCCCCGGGAGGCGCTGCGACGGGCGACGGGGACCCGCGCGTCGCCCCCCGTCGCCCGTCGTGGCCTGCGCGCGGCCCGTACACCCGGCACGCGGCCCGTACGGGCTGCGCCAGGCCTGCGCGCGGCCCGTACGGGCTGCGCCAGGCCCGCGCGCGGCCCGTACGGGCTGCGCCAGGCCCGCGCGCGGCCCGTACGGGCTGCGCCAGGCACGCGCGCGGCCCGTACGGGAAGCGCCAGGCCCGCGCGCGGCTCGGGCCGCCTGCGCGCGGTTCGGGCGGCTCTACCAGGCCCGTGGGCGGCCCGTTCCTCGCTGCTCCTGCCCTCTCCACTGTCCCCCGTGCTTCTACCGGCGCCTCACCCCTCCTACAGCCCGTTCTCCTAAATTAGGGTTTGGGGGTGAAGAGTGTGGGGGTGGCGGCTATGGGGGTGTCGGTTGTGAGTTCCTCCCCCTGCTCCTCCTCCTCCCTCGTCTCCCTCTGCTACAGCTGCCGCTGAGGGGGGTGGTGTGTGGGAGCCTAGGGTTTGGGGTTTAAGGGGGGTACCGTCGGAGTGGAGCTAGGGTGTCAGCAGGGGGTGTGTGAGAGGGGCGTGGGACGGTCGGGGGAGATTGCGTGGAGGTAGCCGTCGTGACGCCAGCAGCGCCAGTAGTCCGGATGCCCTCGCGCGTTTCGGTAGCCCAGCGAGCCTGCTTCGCCAGTCGCCTGTGGGTCCGTTGCTCCTGTGTGTGCTCGTCGTAGCCGCGGAGCCAGATACTCCCGTAGTCCGGTGCCCTCGTGCGCTCGGTAGCCACTGTGCGCGCCGCTCCTGTTGCCCGTGTGTCTGCAGCTTCAGTCGGCGCCTTTCATCTTCTCTCCTCTCGCCAGCCCTCCTCCTCCTCGCTTGCCCTCTGTGACTG